TATCAATGTGAATTTCCAAAATATCAATTTTCTATAACGTTTACTAATACATAATTAAATATAATTACAGTCAAAGTTATGCATTGACAAACGTGAAAGTCAAAATGTTGCAAGAATTAAAGAACGGAAGATAGTATAACACACGGGAAGATTTTGGGGTGTTTGAAACTGATTTTGCTTCTACTTCTGCTTCTTTTTTAAAGCAGAATCAGAATCAGTTTCCAGAAGTTGGTCTCCCTCAACCTCTAAAAAATTGATTCTAGGAGTAAATTAAAGCACTAGAATCACTTCTCCACTTTCATCCAAACACTCCAGCTTCTGCTTCTGCTCTCTAAAGGAGCAGAAGCGGTTTTAAGAATCAGATCCAAACACCTCCTTGGAAGAGTCCGGAAGGACGGACCCATGGGGCGTTTGGAACTTATTAGCTTCTGTTTTCAGAAGCTGATCTCCCACAACTTCTAAAAAAACTTATTCTAGGAGTAAATCACAGTACCAGAACTACTTCTACACATTCATCCAAACACTTCAACTTCTGTTTCTGCTCCCTGAAGGAGCAGAAGCAGTTTTAAGAATCAGATCCAAACACCCCTATGTGGGGCAGTAGGAATTCTTGGCTCTTGATTGATTAGAGTAACTTATCATTAACTCGGGGTTATGCCACTATTATTAGCTTAATCGTGCTTAGTGAGTGTGATGGATAATTGATACCCATATTGTATAAACAGGAGAAATTGAACAAGAAAGAAGAAGAAATGATGAAGAAGAAGGAAATGTGTATAGAATGAGTATTGGTTATATGAGTTGTGTGTTTACAAGCCTCCTATAAGGAGTATATATAGGGAAAATCCGGGTCTGAGCCTCTAATATGGGCCTGACAGACCCGGTTACATAAATGGACTGATAGTATAAAAAGCCAATCTAGAACATCTAAATAATAATATACAATAATATGAATCCGCTAAACGTGTGTGGGCCGCTGTCCAGGCCTAGTAGTCGGCATACCGGGGGGTCGGAGTCCATATAATCCATTAGGAGTCCCCCACTCCCTGAGTCGAGAGTACTTGAGGCGAAAGGGAGTAGTCCAAACTGTATCTGCAACGTTCTTCCTCTTCGGACGGGGGACCACCACCCTTGTCCATTATGGGGAGGTGCCTCGTTAAAAACCTTTACTAGGAAAAACCCAGTGGGAAAAAATCCTAATAAAGGGAAAAAGAGTACACCTAGCGCCCCCAACATGAAACAAAGAAGGTAAATCCCCTCCGGCATAATCAATCTAGCTCAGCTCCTCTTCAACTGACTCAGCTCTCGTTCCTGTTCTTGCGTGATGTTTTCTGCTCATCTAGAAACTCTGACCCCTCAGTCCCCCAGTCCCCACTCTTTGAGGCGAGTGGAGACGAGGTGAAAATGAGTAAAGTCATCTTCGTACCTACACATTTATCATACATATAAAAAAAATTCTTGGGATTTATGTTCCCGATCGGGAGTTCGTCACTTGAAACAAGTGGAGATGTGAATTGTTAATGTAATGATAAAATACTTAGTAGAATGGATGTGTGAGACATTCGTAAGCAACGGTCGCCACTCAAGGAATGACTAAGACCGGTCTTCGTACCCGACTTGGTCGGAGTTTTGTCTTCATGCCCGACTTGGTCGGGGCTTTGTGCCTGAGGAGACAGGGCTTTGTGCCTGAGGAGTCAGGGCTTTAAATCCTAGTGATGGGTCTCAAGCCACACTCTACTAGGTATTTGATTATAAGTGCGTGATAGTGTGACATTCACCCGACAAAAATGATTTAAATAAATATAAGTAATATGAAAATTAAAAGGGTACTTATCTTTTTATCTTTTGAGGTGGGTTGACTTCAAATGTACTGTTATACTTGAGAATCAACCTCTCGGCTTTCTGTATTTGTGGCCCATCCATCCTTAGAGTAGCTCAGCCTAATAATTTTGACCCGATCCACCAAATGTTCCCATTAGCTTTCACGGCTGGCAAGTGGGCAGTGAAAAGAGGGTAGCATGTCACCTTCATCTTTTAGGAAACTTGGCAGCTGCTACCAACTGGTGAGGACCCCAGCATGGCTGGCGAGGTGGGAGAGTGTCGGCGAAGCGACCGGGTAGAGAAAAGGGGCGGCGAGCGATGGTGCCACGTCCATAGTGGAGCCTAAGTGAGCTGCAGGTGCGTTACCGACTTGCTGTACGATGAGGACTGGAAATGTAGCAGGTTGACTCCAATGCGTTTAACGGAGGGATGGCGATGGCCTCGCTCTCGGCTGGTGCTGGTGAGGGCCGGACTTGGTCCGTCTAGTTGACTGAGCTTCACCAGTTGACCACCAAAATCAAATTTGGCCGGAAAAATTCCAGATCTTGGAGATTACAGATCCAAAAATTCCAAAAACTTTCATCTTGGAGATCTTTTTCTGAAATTTCGAAATTGCAAACCATTTTTTCTTCGTTTTTTGAGAAGACAGTGGCCATTAACGGTAGACCTTCGATGTTTTGAGCTTAACGACCGGAGAAATGACTGGGAAGACGGTGACCGGAGCTAGGTTACCGGAGCTGGCCTTTCATTGAGCTGAGGTGGTGACCGGATCGAGATGAGCTGACGACCGAATTAGATGGGCGGCGCTGCCCTGGGGGCGGCAGGACCCACGTTTGGTGTAGCTGAACTCTTGCTTGGGCTCGCTGCCATGGATGGTGACCGGAGCTGGGCGAACGGCGCTGCCATGGGGGTGGCAGAACTCGAGCTTGATGTCGCTTGCTTGCATCACTCCAAGCCGTCGTTCGAGTCACGAGTAGTTGAAGTCGCTGGAAGCCTGGAGTAGCGGATCTACGAGCCCTAAACGTCCTTCTTCCTCCCTTTCCGGAGGCTGGGCAGATGGGCCGGGTATCTCCTGCTAGGTGATGATATCTCCGGCTGGGATCTGGAAATCTAGATGTGAAATTGCAACTTTTCCTTCTTCGATTCTTCCTGAATTTTCCGAAGGATTTTGACTGATTCCTTCAAGATTACCACCGTTTTGGTTGAATTTTTTTCTGAGATTGGAATGATTTTTTTTTTTGTGATTGGGATGAATTTTTGGGTAATTTTGGTAGAGTTTTTGGTTAAGTGGGGAGGATTTCTCACTTGATTGTGTTCAAACCTCTCAACGAGAGCACCATTGTTGGATAATAGATACCCATATTGTATAAACAGGAGAAATTGAACAAGAAAGAAGAAGAAATGATGAAGAAGAAGGAAATGTGTATAGAATGAGTATTGGTTATATGAGTTGTGTGTTTACAAGCCTCCTATAAGGAGTATATATAGGGAAAATCCGGGTCTGAGCCTCTAATATGGGCCTGACAGACCCGGTTACATAAATGGACTGATAGTATAAAAAGCCAATCTAGAACATCTGAATAATAATATACAATAATATGAATCCGCTAAACGTGTGTGGGCCGCTGTCCAGGCCTAGTAGTCGGCATACCGGGGGGTCGGAGTCCATATAATCCATCAGAGTGTTTGCAATTGCTTCTACTTAAAAAAAAGCACTTTTTGAGTGATTTGGAAAAAGTTATAAGTAGTAAAAGTTGATAGTATTTGAGAAAAAAATGATTTTGAAAAGTAAAAGTTGGTAGTGTTTGGTAAAATAAGTGCTTTTTGTGTAATAGAAAAGGGAAAAACATTTTTCATACGCAAGCCAAGAAAAAGTAAAAATTGATAGTTTTTGGTAAACAAGTGCTTTTTTAAGCCAAAAGTTGATAAGTGCTTTTTTAAGCTATTGCAAACACTCCCTTCATCATGTGATCAGTAAGTGCACAAACTTTAAGAGAGTAAATGTCGAGTGAGTTGCGAGGTCAGATTTCTAACACCATTTTCATCTTCCATTTTTGTACGGAGTATATTTAGGATTTGTTTGCAAACACTAGTCACATACAATAACTTTTAAACTTTTTAGGTGATTTGGGAAAAAGTGATTAATAATAAAAGTTGATAGTGTTTGAAAAAAAAGTGATTTTGAAAAGTAAAAGTTGGTTTGGCAAAATAAGTGTTTTTTTGTGTAATAGAAAAAGAAAAGATAGATTCTAGCATTTAGCTTTTAAGTGTTAATTTAAGTAGAAGTTGTCACTTGAAAACATTCTTTTTGATTTTTTTAAGTCAAAAGCTAGGAAACGCCTTTTTTTAGTGTTTGCAAACAAACCCTTAGACTGTGTTTGTTGGAGCTTTTATGCTTTTTTTGTTAAAAAAAGCTAAAATTTGTGTATGCAAAAGGAAGATTCTCTTAATTTTAGGGAGTGTTTGCAACAGCTTAAAAAAACACTTCTCAGCTTTTGGCTTAAAAAACACTTATTTACCAAACACTACCAATTTTTACTTTTTCTCGGCTTGCGTGTGAAAAGTGTTTTTCCCTTTTCTATTACACAAAAAGCACTTATTTTACCAAACACTACCAACTTTTACTTATCAAAATCACTTTTTTCTCAAACAATATCAACTTTTACTACTAATCAATTTTTCCTTATATCTCCAAAAGTGCTTTTTTTAAGCAGAAGCAGTTGCAACATTGGACATGCTTTTTTCTGCTTCTTGGTAATTTGGTAAATAATTGCAATTTTGAGGGACTTTGTATTTACACCATGCCTGTGTATATCCCGTCAATACCCTTCCCATCTTCTGCTACATCACTCACTCACCGAGGCTTCTGTAGTGCACTCATGGCGAACTAATTTTCTATCGACACTGAGGCTTCCCCATAAATTCCAATCATCCGTGTCTGCTTGGTGTATCTGCTAAGCATGTAGGGAAGCCGCTGTTCAAATTGAAGAGTTATACATGGTATATATATATATTGGTGGCACACATATAGGGTAGCCTAACTGTGAGAAACCATGAATACTAGAAGAAATCCCAGTGATTGGGTGATCTATGATACTTGAATTGTGGGGAGAATCTCTCTTAATACAATCGCATGGTATAATAGAAGCAAATGGGGGAAGAAGCCAAAAGGTAAAGGAGGCAGGTATAAAGGATTGTGTTATTGGTGATTATCAGTGAACGTACATGAGTATATATAAGTACAGTTGAAGAGTTTAACTCTATCTATGCTACTGGTATACCGATACGATAGTAAAGAGATAATATCACAATTAATAGTTACAACAAACATGACTAATAACTAGTAGATAATATACTAAATATTATCCGTGATATTCCCCCGCAAGATGGAAGATCCATTGGAGACGCCAATCTTGGAACGGAAATGAAGGAAAGGAGTACGACCAAGAGGCTTAGTCAAAATGTCCGCTAGCTGAGGTGTAGTAGGTACATGATGAACAGACAACTTCCCAGCAGCTACCAAGTCGCGGACAAAAAATAGTCAGGACATAGATGCTTCATACGGGAATGAAAGGTACTGCCCCAATCTGCATCAGAGAATGTTGTGAGAGAAAGATGTGCAGTAGGCCGCATGTACAAGCCATGATAAGAGGTGCCCTTGAGATACCGAAGTAGACGTTTAGCGGCAAACCAATGAGAAGAAACGGGTCCATTCAAAAATTGAGAAAGTCGATGAACCGCAAAACAAATATCAGGCCGGGTGAAACTGAGATACTGAAGAAGCCCAAGAAGCCGTCGGTAATCAGAAATATCAATAGAAGCAGTAGTGGGGTTGGCCGGCGGTAACTTTTCAGTAGCAGACATTGGAGTTGATACAGGAACATGCTGCGGAAAGTTAGGATCGGAATACCCAGGTGGTTGATCCAAATAAACAGTTTCATGCAACGTTCCATTCAAGAAGGCGTTATTTACGTCAAGTTAACGAATAGCCCAACTATGATGCAATGCCAGAGTAAGAATTAACCGAATTGTTACTGGCTTCATTACTGGACTGAAGGTTTCGGAATAGTCCCTGCCGGGTTCTTGAGAATACCCTTTGGCAACGAGACGAGCCTTGTACTGATCAACGGTACCATCAGCTTTGCGCTTGACACGAAAAATCCACTTACAACCAATGGTAGAGCGAGACCCACGCGGAACTAAGTCCCATGTGTGGTTTCGTAACAAGGCAGTGTATTCTTCATCCATAGCCTTGCGCCACAACGGATCTTTGAGCGCTTGAGTAATAGTGCGAGGTTCAATAGTGGAAGGGGGAGGATGAACTGTGGAGAGATTAACAAATGCTAGACCATAGAATTTGGGGTTTGGATGGCGCTGACGTGTGGATAATGGACGAGTGGGGAGAGGTATGTCCTGGGTTGAATTAGATGTGGTAGAGGGGTGGGAAATGAGTGATGATGGGACCGATGGAAGATGAGAGGATGATGTGGGGTTTTGAGATAAGGACATGTCACTAGAAAAAGGTATATGTGGAGGTGATATAGGTGTAGAAGATACTAGAGGTCAACAAAAATGACATAATACAAGTAACCGTCACTGGATATTTGTTTTGTACTCCAAACATCTGAATAAATTAATTCAAGTGGTCGAGAACTAACCAAAGAATTTTGAGAGAATTGAAGTCTGACTTTTATTAATATGGCAAGATGTACAATAAAATGATTTAAGTACACGAATGTCCACATTTTTATTACATTTATTGAGCATAACAGAGAGAACTTTATTAGAGGGATGTCCTAGAGAATGATGCATCTCAGAATAGATGTCAAGTTGAGAGTATTGATTTGCGGGGAATTGGAGACCGGTGCATAATAGACGCCATTCACAGGAAAAAAGAAGGAAAAAATTCCATTTTTTCCACAGAAACAGAGTTAGTGCGACACAACTGTGAAACTGAGACTAAGTTGGTATGAAGTTGAGGGACACAAAACTTTAGATAAAGAAAGGGGACGAGAGTTTGTGTTTACAGTAGTGTGACCAATATGGGATATAGGAAGAGATGTACCATTACCCAAGCGGATCTCATCGGGATCGTTGTAAGCCGTAAAGTTTTGGATTGAAGAGAGCCCGGCAGTTGCATGGTGTGATGCCCCACTATCAAACATCCACTGGGAGTTCTCTGGAGCGGAATTGACTGCGGTAGTAGTGGTACTATACACTGTAGGAGTGGAGGTGGCATAATTGTGGTCTCGTAAAAATCGAGCTAGTTTGCGACCATCACGAACCACATGGCCTGAGAAATTGCAAAAACGACACACCGGTCCAGATTTGGGTGGTGGTTGAAATGCGTATGCCCCATGAGGAATGTCAGATCGAGAGGAGCGACAACGCTCTCTGTGATTCCCAGGTGTAGGTGTACGAAAGGAAGAGCTGGCCGGCGGAGTTGGGCGCGGACTGCATGTGACTACTAGGTGTGCGCTGAGTGGCATGGGCCGTAGGCACAAGGGAGGAAATAGCCATAGCAGAGTCACTGAGTTGTCGCTCATGATCTGTCAAAATTTGAGATAATTCAATCATCGTGGTTGGAGTATTGCGAACACGAAGTGCAGAGACAATAGATTGATAATCTTCACCCAGCTGATTCAAAATAGAGAGGAGAAGGTCCGTATCTGAAACAGGGTTGTTGGCAAGAGCAAGATCTGAAGCAATCTCTTGCATATGTTTAAGATACTCCGGAATGGAGCGACTGCCGCATGGATCGACAAAGCTATGCGTGAGAGTTTCCCATGCCTTGTGAGCCGTGCCTGCAGATGTGATGAGGGGCTGAATAGATTCAGTGCAAGTGCCGAGGAAAGCACCAATGAGAATCTGATCTTGACGAAACCAAATCTGATAACATGGATTAGGAACAGTTTTGGCATCATCAGAAAACTGAGAAGGAGCTTTAAGGGATCACGTAAAAGATTACGCAGCTCTTGATACCATATAAAGGATTGTGTTATTGATGATTATCAGTCAACGTACATGAGTATATATAAGTACAGTTGAAGAGTTTAACTCTATCTATGCTACTGCTATACCTATAGGATAGTAAAGAGATAATATCACAATTAATAGTTACAACAAACATGACTAATAACTGCTCCCTCCGTCCCGCTATGATCGTCCCATTTTACCATTTCAGTCCGTCCCACTAAGATTGTCTCATACCTTAAGGCAAAGTTTGTGTGGTTCTAAATAGGGCTAGGACCGGTTCGGTTCTTACTCAAAATGAGTGGAACCGTTATAAAAGTTTTAACTAATGAAATCGGTTCGGTTCCTATATAAAAAATCAAGAACCGTTATGGAACTGAACCGGTAGTAAACGGTTCGGTTCTTCTTTTTACCGGTTCCGAGAATAATTTTTCTCAACTAAGAATTAATACATACGAAGTAATTTACTTTCTACAAACAACATAAACACATTGAAAACTCAAAACACAAGTATAGAATTTTATTTTTAGCTCTAATCACTTCAAACATCAAAGCTCAAACTTAACTAATGAACTGTGAACACTTAATAGAACAAAAGATTATTTAAATTTTCATGTATAAAAAAACATTATTACATTGTATTGATACATAATAAATCTAATAATTAGAAATATCATGAAAATAGTAAAGTCAAATATGTGCAATCAACTACAAGTATATGGGTTATTTTATATTTATAAAATTTATGTGATGGAACAAAACATGATTTGTAGAAAGGAGTTTAATGTATTATATCAACCTCATGTACAGTATTTATTACTTCGTTTTCGTTGATTAAATTAGAATTGTTAGTTAAATATCTTATATTGTTTTATTATTATTGTTGTGGTGGTAGTTATTATTGCTATTATATTATTATTATTATTATTATTATTATTATTATTATTATTATTATTATTATTATTATTATTATTATTATTATTATTATTATTATTATTATTATTATTATTATTATTATTATTATTATTATTATTATTATTATTATTATTATTATTATTATTATTATTATTATTATTATTATTATTATTATTATTATTATTATTATTATTATTATTATTATTATTATTATTATCATTATTATCATTATTATCATTATTATTATTATTATCATTATTATCATTATTATCATTATTATCATTATTATCATTATTATCATTATTATCATTATTATCATTATTATCATTATTATCATTATTATCATTATTATCATTATTATCATTATTATCATTATTATCATTATCATCATTATCATCATTATCATCATTATCATCATTATCATCATTATCATCATTATCATCATTATCATCGTTATTATCGTTATTATTGTTATTATTGTTATTATTGTTATTATTGTTACTATTGTTACTATTGTTACTACTACTACTACTAATATTATTTTATTTTTTATTTTTTTTAATAACGGTTCCTTAACGGTTCCATGCACATATTATTTATAGGAACCAGGAACCGAACCGTTATAACCCGCATCGGTTCGGTTCCTACAAATGAGGTATTAATTGTTAATGGTTCGGTTCGTAGATGTTGTTAACGGTTTGGTTACAATCGGTTGTACGGTTCCCGGTTCCAAAATTCCACCCCTAGTTCTAAATCATTCCTACTTTATTCTTACTTTATCAATTCAATATCAACCACATAAACCCACTTTTATTAATAACCGTGCCACCTTCTCTTGTCCCAAACTTAGGGGGACGGAGGTAGTAGTAGTAGATAATATACTAAATATTATCCGTGATAGCAGGCAGCCGGCGGTAGAGACAAGAGTTCTGTCTCGTTAATGATTTTTGGGGGTAAAGTAATTTGGGAGTATTTTTTTATTTTAATACGGAGTAGTATATTACATCAAAAATCACTTTTTTACTAAATATTTCAACTTTTACATTTTAATTAAAATCACTTCTACTCACAAACACTACTAACTTTCACCACAAAACATTTTTCAATAATCTCTTTTCAACTAATCACTTTTGAAAAGCACAAACAAACATAACTATCCTTTAAGATATTAATTAAATTAATTATCTCTAATAGGAGTAAATGATAAAGTTACTAGATAGATTTTGATTGACTTACAATTGTCTTAAAGATTGACGTATCATGTTGCTTCTGAGTGAACGATTAACTCAACATATCATTAGAAATATGTTTTCTAGTCTTATTGGTTTGCCTCTAGTTTCTATCTTGATATAACCCCATAACTACTACTTTTACCTGTGCCGTGCACGGGGTAAAAGATGTTTCATAGTATTATTATTTTTAATTTTAATATAGAATGTAGAAAAAAATATTTTTCATGTTGATTCTAATCGAACGCAACAAAATTTGTTGAATTCTAATCGAACACAACAAAATTTTCATAAATCTTAATTGTATTTTTAAATTATTGGAAATAAGTCTTAAAATAGGATTTTAAATACTGCTATACTTGTTTTAACATTGGAATACATGTTCATAAATTTATTTTTAATAGCTTTTTATTACTCATTATATATCCCACCGTGTATTAAAAAGTATTACTCAAAATATTACTTTTAAAATTCTAAAAATAATTGTTAACTATGAAAATTTTGTCTTATTCAATTAGAATTCATCAAGGCCCCATGAAAATAAATTCTCATGTGATATAATTTTTTTTTATCTGTACTTCAATTGTTACAAAAAAATATGTCAAAACTTATACTCCGTAATACTTTATTAGCTTTCATATGACACCAATATTGAGCATAAAAAGATAAAAAAATAATTTAACACTTTGAGACATTTGCTTTTTAAGTACTTTAACATTTTTATTTGTACTCTGATTGTCACAAAAAATATCAAAATTAATAAGTTTTTAAAATCTTTCATATGACACCGATATTGAATATATACAACTAAAAACTATAACACTTTAAAAAATATCTTTTTTTTAAAGTGTTATATCTTTTTATTTGTACTTTAATTGTTACAAAAAAACCTATCAAAATTCATAACTTTTTCTTTCATATGACACCAATATTGAATACAAAAACATAAGAAAATAATTTAACACTTTAAAACATCTGTTTTTTTAAGTGTTGTAACATTTTATTTGTACTCTGATTGTTACATAAAACATATCAAATACATGACTTTTTATTATCCTTTAAGAAATAAAATACCCCATGACACCAATATTGAATATATAAAAATAAAATAAAAATTAACACTTTCAAAAAAAATCTGTTTTCTAAAACTTCTATAACCTTTTTATTTATACTCCGATTATTACAAAAAAATATATTAATTTTTTTTTAACTTTTTATTATTTTTCATACGACCCCAAGTCTCAACGTTGCATA